GGATGTGGTACACTTACATACATGCAGGCAAAACACTCAAATATAATAAAATGAAGTATTTTTTAAACAAAAATTAAAAACAAAAATGAAGGCACATTACATTTTAAATACATAACTACTTGCCTGAATGAGGAACTACAAACACAGGAGACGGGCTAACACCTTGCAATGTAGAATTCGGAAGGAAGGGAACTTCGATTTACTGAGAAAGCCCTTGCTCTCTTGAGCACTCCGGAGAAGAATTCATCTACCCCCATAACAACTTCTCAGGGAGGTTTTCTTACTCTCATTCTCCACAGGGGTAACCCAAGGCTTGTGGTGGGGGATGGGGGGTGGGGGTGGGGTGGCTGCCTAGTTTAATCTTGAACTTGCATCTTCCTGCCTCTGCCTCCTCTGTCTTTCCTCTGGGCCACAAACAGGCTTGGTCAGGCTGAGGGACAGTGAAGAACGAGGGTCTCAGTCAGGCATGTCTGGGCCCTCTGGCCAATCCCAAGGCTGGCTATGAACTACCTTTGCTAGTCAGAATTTTTGGTCCATCACATTCAGTTGATAGAGAAGCCGCCCCCACCCTGCTATCTCTATCCTAGATCGTCCACTACTATCCTCTTATTGTGATCCACTTCTGCATCCACTCTGACTCCCTTCTTCTGTCCTTCCTGCCCACACTCACAGATGTCCACCTGTCTGCCTCTTCAGCCTCAGTCAGGCCCTACAATGGAACGCAGATGGCGTGCAGATCTACTGCCCACTCTTGGCCAAAAAAGTCTCTCTCCCGCTTTCTCCCCCGCCCCCCCCCACAGTCTCCACACTGTACCCTTTTGCCTATTTGAAAAGACACAAGGGGCTTTACGCACCAGGAGGCCATGTAGGCACATTCTGGAGCAGTCTGGACCTACCACTGCAGTTATTAGACTGGGTCTGAACCCTCCCACAGAACTTGCTCTCTACAGACCGTGGGATGTGAAGCTTCCATGGCTCAGCTGCCCGTGCCTAGACATCTCAGTTCACTGGACAGAGAAATCAGTGTTTCCTGGCACCAACTACACACCAGGCTGCAGTGCTGTAGTGCTGATGAATAGGCCCACAGTCTAGGGGTCATCTGGTGCACTGGCTCCCAACCTCAGATGAACATTAGAATTGCCTTCATACTGGGTAAAATTCCCAGGCCCTATTTGACCCAGTGACTTAGCATCTCCAGGAATGGGGCATGTGGCCTATATTACTTAGGGCTCTCTCCCTACCCTGACACAGTGGTTGTGATGGATCCTTTTGTTGTCAGTTGGGCAAAGCTATAATTGTAATTTAGCCAAGACATTAATCCAGTGGGGTGCATGGCATGCATTTGTAGGTCCAGCTACTTGAGAAGCTAAGGCAGGTTCACTTGGGTTCAGCAGTTCAAGGCCAGCCTGGGCAACATAATGAGACCTCCATTCCAAAACAATAGACAAACTGCTAATGTTAGATGCTGCTGTGGAGTATTCTATAGATGTGAAAACATAATCAGTTGACATTAAGGAGATTATTCTTGATAATATGGGTGAATTCTTGCAATCAGTTGAAGGCACAGAGAAAAACCCTAAAATTTCTTGGAGAAGAAATTCTGTCTCAAGATAGCCGTAAACCACTCTTGTCTGATTTCCCAGTCTGCCCTAGGATTTCAGATTTGACAATTCTGACAGTTGTGTGAACCCAGTTCCTTAGAATATGCATCCTTATATCAGAAGAGTGGTGGTCAGCAGGCTGGAGGCCCTGAGCTCCCCAGCCCTGCCCTGGTATCCTCCCTGTCCTGCTATGTACAGAAGAGCCCTTTGCCTCTAAAGTCCTTCCTCCAGAGGCCTGCCCCGCATCACTAAAGCTCTGATCTTCCCATATAACACTCTGGGCACTATACAGATCCAAGAACAGAATTTTAAATTCAGAATTAACCTGACAAACCACCCCACCCCATGCCTGTTCTTTCAATGAGCACCCCTCACTTGGCACTTACTACTGATCACCCCAAACCCCCATTACATTTCCCTGTCCTCCACCCACTCTGTAGTCCTCTTCTTTGATTTTTTAAAAGACTTACTTATTTTTATGTGTATAGGTGGTTTTCCTACATAGGTACCTGGTCTGTGTGCACAGTGCCCACAGACACAGAAGAAGGTGATGGAGCCACCATGTGGGTCTTTCTCAAGTGCTCTTAACCTCTGAGCCATCTCTCCAGCCCCCTCCTCTTCACTTTTGAAGTGATTCAACCCTGCATCCAGCCCTTCTTGGGCCTTTTACCCTACCCCCCGCTTTTTTGAGACAGTCTCTCCTATATCTCAAACTCAGCATGCAGCCTCAGATATCATGAGCTTCTGATCCTCTTGCCTCCCGGTGCTGGGGATTACGATATGTGCACACCACCATGCCGGTTTTGGTGCTGGAAATCCCAAGGTTTTGTGCATGCTAGGCAGGCACTCTACCAACTGAACTTCTTCCTGGCCTGGAACTACTGGTCTCATAGGATTTCTTTGCATATATGTCTCCCAGGATACAGCACATATTTGCCATTTCCTGGGTTCTGTCAGTCAGAGGGTGAGTGACACAGAGGCAGGGACTGGGTCTGTTGGGAACACTCCATTGCTGGGATCAGGGCTCCATGAACAGCTATCACATGAATGGAGTTATTCATACCAGCAGAGGTTTCAGCTCAGGCTGGGAATTTTTTTTTTCCCTGACAAGGTCTCATGAAAGCCTAGTGGCCTCAAACTTACTGCATGAGATTGGCCCTGAACTCCTGACTCTCGGGAATGCTGGGATTATAGGCTTTTGCCTCCATACCCGATTTATGGTGCTTGGGATTTAACCTAAAATTCTATGCACTCTGTTCTTCCAACTGAGGCACATTTGAAGCCTCAGGGCCAGGAATTCTTGACCTTCTGTCCTTCCTCATGCCCATACTCCTCCCATACATAGTTCACAGCTCTGGGTCTAGACGCCATCCCTCTGTGGTGCCGGGAAGAGGAGCCCAATTTGGTACTTTTTGTTGGTAGAAGCAGAGGGTCACCTTCGTCAGAAAACACATCCTTGTGAAGGAGAAGAATGAGGGCAAAATGAATGGAGACAGCAGACGGCGGTGCCAGCAAAGTCACTTGAGAGTCAGAGAAGGAAGACACCTGAGCTGGCCCTGGCCCTGGGGGAGTATGACTTCCTCTAAAAGGCAGCTGAAGAAATGTTTGGTTTTCTGCCCTCTTAAGACCAAGACTGCCAGAGGAAGACCTGGCTCCCAAATGCTCAGCTTGTGGGAGAACAAACATGTTCCCATACCTGTGATCCCAGCACTCAGGAGGCTGAGGCAGGATTGAGAACTCTAGGCTAGCCTGGGCTACATAAGGCCCCTGTCTCAAAAGAAAAAAAAATCACAACTGATGATGCGTATTAGCAGCTAGACAGATGGTGCGGTCTGTAGATGGAGTGAGGACCCAGGTTCCTGTTAGGGCATTGCTGCAGTCTGTATAAATGATACCATCTGGGTGCACAGTTTGGGGCCAGAAAGAAACATACACAGGAGGGCGGTGGTAGCCCTTTGTCCTTATCACAGTTATGAGCTGCAGTCAGAGGGACCCGAGCTATGGCTGTTCACCAACCTCACCTCCCTCCCAGGACCCTCTCCTATCCCAGCGTGGCCTAGATCAGAGTTTTCTGACACACGTGGACGTGGACGTTTTCCCTTCCACTAAACCCAGCCAGGCCACCAAGCTTCTCTTCTTTTGAAGGCCTGTAAGAAAGCTTTCCCTTCCACTGGTGAAGCAGGTGGGAAAGAAGCTCACAAGAAAGCTGTCATGGTTAGAGACCTGAACACTGTTAAGTAGGCACCATCTCTGCTGCCCTTGAACCCTCTAGAATTGCTGATGCTTCCTTTGAACGTGACAGAAACCCCCAGCCTCCTTAATGATGGTGAATGAAGATGTTTGTGGTCTCCACCACACCAGTCACACCTGCCTCTTTTACACCTTCCACCACACTCGGCCAAAGCTTTGGGCAAAGCGGTACAGAACTAAGAGGAGGCATGAACTAAGGGTGACGTGGAGGGGAGGAGCAGAGGTTGCAGGGCTAGGGAGGGGCGGGAGAGAGCCAGAATCAGTCTCTGGGAGAGAAGAGAGCCCAGGACTTCTCTGTGCAGGAGACAAGTACCCAAAGTCACGGCACAGGCTACCATTCTGGAAGCATGCCAGTGGAACAGGGAATTTAGAGCAAGCCTTCATTTGGCAGGTAAGTGACTTGGCCAAAATGCTGAGTCAGATGTCCAGTCCAGGCCTTAACCCACCTCCGTGGAGCCCTCTGAACATGTTGTTATTTCCTTAACAACCTCCTGTGGCCCCTAGCTCCTACTCAATAACTTTTCCCCACAAACTGGTCCCAACCAACCCTGGGGTGGGAGGTCCTCAGCCTGGGAGGAGATTCTCATGGGCTAAGGTGAAAGGGGAACTGGAGAGACTTACAATGATACAGCTCCCAATACAGTTTCAAACCCACCAGGGAAGAGGGAGGAGACTAGAAATGACTGTGCTCCCCACTCACAACCCGGGACTCAGCCCCCACCCATCATGTCCTCTATCCTCCCCTCCCCTTTGTTTGTTGATTTGTTTTTCTGGAAGGAGGAAAGAGGACTCAGTGGCATTAAGTTTCCCTCAGTCCTTTCATGCTGGGCCCCCAGCTGGGAGGAGAAGGCTGGCTAAAGGACTCCCTCAGTTCTCCAGCTAATTGCTCATTAAAGAGCGTAATGAGTTTCCCTTTGCCCCATCCCTGCCTAGACCAGCAAAGTCCCTGCTTTGCACAGTCCCTACTGAAGAGTTAGACGCTCTGTCTCTGGGATCAGCTCTATCCTCTACAGAGTCCTAGTCTGAATTTGGCTCTGCATGTTGCAGGCTCCCTCAACAACCTACATCCCCATCCCCAGAGTGACCCTCCAACCCTTTGCTATCATGCCCTGCCTCCACCCCACCAAGCCCAACATATCCAACACTTACAACTTCTCCAGCAGGGACAGTCCCAAGAAGGATCCATTGTGGAGCCCAGTGATCTTGTTGTTGTTCAAGAGTCTGAAGGAACAGAGAGAACACAGACGTGTACTGTTAGAAGATGGAGGATGCCAACTGTAGATGTAGAGGGGACTCAGGTTCCTACGAGGGCCACGAGACATTCTGAGTAAATGGCACCACCCGGAGCTGTGCAGCAGACGCCCCACCCAGCACTCAAGGAGGTTGTAGGGAGAAGCTGAGGTGCAGTCCAGAGCCACCCATACAGAGGGCCCCAAGTCATATTTCACTTGCTGAGCCTCCGCATTGACTGGATCTGACCTGGGGCTCTGGTTGAGGAAGGAGGTGAGCAGGTGTGAGGTTGTGATTCCCCATTTCCACCTTGAAACTCCAGTGTCCGCCCCCTGAGCCCCTGCCATGCCTCGCACAGCTTTGCACTTGCTAAAGCCCAGTATCAAAGAGGAAGAATAGGGGGAACTGGCATTATCTGGGTCAGGAATAGATGAGGAAATCCTAGAGCCTGGGATGGCAGCACACATCTTTAATCCTATCGCCTTGTAGGTAGGAGGATCAAGATTCGTTCTCAGCTACATAGTAATAAGTTTGAGGGCAGCCTGGGCTACCTGAGACCCTGTCTCAAAAATAACATAGCAAAAACCCAAACAAACAGAAGAATTGGAGGGGGGAGGGGAGGAAGAGGGGAGGAGGGGGGAGGGGAGGAGG